GTCAGCTCATTTTCAGTGAAATGTCAACCCACTGGGTACTGTTGTGTTCCTTTACATTTTGACTGAAGTTGCTTATTAGTTGTACACATGTGGGCATTCCCATTCCCTTCAGCAGAATGACTCATAGGGAAATGCTCAGAAGCAAGAGTAAAGTCCTGGGCTGTACCTGAATTGAATGATGGATGTTTTAAACAGCACAGAGAGGTGGAGACCCTGTTAAGAAATAACCTGTCCTCTCCTTCCAGTGCAGGAGTGTCCCCTACAAAGTACATTTTTGCTGAACGTTTGAATCAGAAGGAAATTATATTTGCTGGTAAAACCCTCAAAGGCTCAGTTATGTTTCACAAGGGGTAAAACATCTGCAAATCCAACAGTGATTGAAACAATTACTTCATGATGGATAACTTTATTGCCCACAGATGGCACTTGAAACCCAGAAGGTCAGATTCTTTGTACACACTGAAGTTGCAAAGATAAACTGATCATTCTCCTCAACCTCTCATTGTGCAGGTGAAAAAAAATTAGTCAACATGTTGAGGATAACAGAAGTGGCTGGAGGACAGTCACAGTCCCAAATTATGGAAAAGATGTCAAGAAGTCATCTTAACTTCAGGGAAATTTATACTGACTTCTAATACTGTAATTTTTAAAATTTAGTCATAAAAGCTAGCTTTTGGATTTCCTTTCTTTAGTCAAAGGTAGCAGAAATTCTATGTGTATGAAAAGAAATTTAAAAGTAGAAACTGGGAAAATTGTAATGGGAATAATAAACCAGATGATGGCCCAATTTTGAGTTCAGCCAGTCTATCATTTTTAAGAGAATCCAAGATTTAGCAGAAATCAGTGGAAGGTTCATCATGTGTGCATGGTTACTCATTTGTCTATGGAAGTGGACACATATCATATTGGGAAAATACATGCATGTTCATTTATTTTATCTTTTTATCATGACCTGTGATCAGAGGGGTTTTTGGTTATCAGATAATTCATATTTTTCTTTACTTAATTTGGAAGAGGAACAGCTTTTTTGTGGGGTAGAAGTTAATGGAAGAAAGATTTTTTTTCCTTGAAAAATAACAGATTATTCTCTGCTTTCATAAAAAAAATTATCCTCCCCTTACTTTACATAGGATGGCTAACTTTTGCAATCTAAATTAACATTTGCTCATTAATTAAGCAACCCCATGGACTGACTTTCACATGCATCTAATAAGCCTTCCATAACAAATAAAATGTGTCCAAAAAATCACCCCTTTCCCCATGGGAGGAGATTCCTCAGTTATCAGGATTAATTAGTTCTCTTGTTGTCACATGAAAAGAAGCTGCACTCCTCAATGTAGGTCAGTGTGAGGGTAGGCTGCTGATGGTCGCTTAGTGACAGGCACAATGATAAGTGAATGTGTCCTGTTGAGCCATGACCCTTCAGAAAAGACAGTGTCAAGTAAAATGCCCACAGAAGGTACATAGAAGGCATAATCTGCTTCTAAATATTGACAGTAGGAATTTCCCTGCTATTCTCCTTCCTTTTTCTTTCCTGGTAAACACGTCAAACTCTATTGCATTTGTACTCTGCATTGGTTTTGAAGCATTTAAATACGTAAGGAAGCTAATGACCCATGAATTGATAGGATGTCAAATAAAGCTATTTTTCTTTAAGACATAGCATCTTGCTGGTAAAAGCATTGTGTCCCATACTTGTAAAAACAACAACATTGGCTTGAAATAGGATTTCTGTTTTTTGTTAGTGAAAAATTAAATAAATTAATAAATAACCAGGCTTGTAGATCTTGCCAAAGACACTGACATTAAGTCTTGAATGTGAATACGATTAACTACTAGAGTTAAGTGTCTAAAATGTACTTGAAATCAATGATGAAATGCTAGGTTGTGTCAATGTTAGACAAACACTAAGCACTCCTTAAGATCCCACACACAATATTTATAAATACTGTGCTGTCTTTTAGATATATGTAAAATGTGTAGAAGGGCAAAAGCTTGAGTATGTGTCTAGTATATCTGGGGTTCTCTTTTGTCTACAAGATGGGAGTGAAAATGTAGATGGCTTTGTTATATTTTTTCTTTGATTTTAGTAACTCTGAGGCAGATGTGACATTTAGGCTTCCAGGTTGACTTGTTTCATATGCTTCATTTAAGTTAGATCTTAAGGTTTTCACATCTTTGTTTATATCACTGTAAAGTTATGAAGATAAAAACCTTGTAACATTTATGATGGTTTCTTGCTCGTCACCTTTGGCAGACATTGAAAAGAGCAGCAGCCCACATTCCCAGGGCTGGTCTCGGCATGGGCATGGTGCTGCAGGACTGGCTTTGCTCCTGGGCACGGTGCAGCGCCAGTGCCGAGCAAAGCCAATCCCTCAGCACTGCAGGCATGACCAGGCACTGCAGACTCACTCTCCTGTCTTGATGTCAACACCTGTCACTCACATGGATTTTTCCACTTTCCCACCAGTTTTACATAGGAAGAAAGCTACATGTTGCTCTCTATCAACTAGGTTGAGTGTTGCAGCTCTAGCAGCTGCAGCTGGGTTTTGATCCCAATTGTTTCCTCTGGCAGACTATCACTGATGTTTTTTTCATACATATTGAACTGCTTGTAAACACTGTTGCATGCTTTCAGCTTTTCCAGGGCCTCAAATAAGGAGCAGTTCAGGGAAGCTTGAGGTCAACTTTTCCCCGAAGTAAAAACCAAGATTCATAAAGCTGAATATAAACTCTGCCTTCTTGGGAGAGCATCTGACCCTTCAATTCTGGGATGACAAGAGGAATGCAAATGAAATGAGGAAATGTGGGAGTTTCACAAAACCATCAGATTGTTTAACTGAGGATGTTGACAAACCCTCTCAACCAGAGTGCCTGGGTTGCTCTCCAAGAAGCTGCCTAGGCTGTTGTAACATCTTATCTCAATTTCTCAGTGATTAGCCTCAGAGGCATTCCTTCAGAATGGTGAATGAGAAGACTCAGAGACTGTAAGCATCTATGGGAGACTATCCCATAAAAGCACAGAGCACTCTTTGGGGGAACCAGCCCTTGAGAGTTGAGATTCCTAAAGGGCAGGCATGAGAAATGTATGTTTGCAATGCATATCACATAACAATTACTTATTCAAAGATTTGCTACACCGTTTTTCTCCCCTCTTACCAGCTGCCAGAATATATTAATTTCTAGTTAGAAATATGATTGTCTAGATAAATTGCAGAGGAAGTCTGTGTATACATATAGTCTCATATTTCAAATCTATGGTGTTATTTGAGGTGCAGTCCAGAAGACCTCTTTATCCTGAAAAGTTGTTATGCCCTTGCTTGCAGCTTGTACAAGTAAGCTGTAATTTTGTTTACATCTGTGTTCCAGTGTACCCTTTAAATCTTGTTTTGAATTGGCACAGATGATAGAATATATCAAAATCTACTGGACCCACAACTTAAGTAAGATATCCTGGCTAAAAGAAAGTTCCTGAATTTGGAACAGCCATTGAATTTGATGTGTTTATGCATCCAAATTTTAATCACCAATCTCAGCAGGAATTGGCATCTGGAAGTTCCTTCTCTAGTCAACAAAAGAGGGAGGCATTCCTGATGGGTGATATGTAGCCCAAAAAAACGGGCTATGTATTTCTACTATGTTTGGTGCATACAGCTCTTCATACTTGGCTGTGGCAGAGACTTCTTGGTAGGACTTAAAATAGTTAAGCTGAAATTTAGCTATTGAGTTATAGAAGAAAAATCTGCATTACCCTTTACTATGAGATGGGGTTTCTCCCATATGTTGACAAGGCTATACTTTCTCTTGGAGTAAAGTGGTTTGGGTTAGTTGCTGTTGCTCTCTCTCAACGCTGAAATCTTTATAAATTACACTTGAGTCCTGATTAGACTACAACTGGTTTTCAACTTTTAACTGTTTTGAAATATTTTTACATTGTGTTCCCAGCTTCTAGAACATTTTGCTGTCAATGTAAGGGCAGTGGGATGGATCAAGCAGTGCTTCTTCCCTAAGGCATGTTCTTCTGTCAGCTTGCCATGAAAGCTTTTGTGGCCATAGCCTATTATAGGGCAAAGATAAATCATTATGTCTTTCCAGCCAGCACTTATTGAGAGGGAAGATCTCATATTTTTCTGGTGGTCTGACCATGGGGCTTTTTCATGGTCTTCTTAAAAATGCCTCCATGTAGACTTTGCAAAGCCCACCTGGATGTTTTCAGCTGTCCTAAGCCAGCTCATGTTATACTGACACTAAAGGTTTCACCTATGCCAGAATGGTCTGACCACAATAACATGCTTGTTTTCTCAAATATGCAACAAATATAGTCTGGAGAGTGTCTTGATCTTGTTCTCAAAATTTACTGTAAAGCTCTACCTTTTGACGCTACTTTGTTGACAGGAAGCCCACAGCTGGTGAGGGACCATAAGTAAGTGTGCTGTCACCTTCAGTCAGAAAGGGAAGATCCTTAAGGCATTTCACTCCTTCCACATCAGTTTCAGCTTTGCAGCAAGCTGTTTCAGTGGGATTTTGGTATCTTAGGTGTCAGTATGTGGCTCTTGCCATGGGAGTGGCTGAATTTACCCTTCCTATTGAAGGGGCTGCCATGGCCATATTTCCTGAGGAAATGCAGCCAGTGGTGCTGGGGGCACATTTCCTCAGTTAGATGTGGATCCATGAGGTCCTCAAGTTTCTTCATGATATGTTCAGTGAAAAATTTGACAGCAAAGTCATTGACTGGTAGCTTTCAATTCTGTTTTCTTTCCTGAGTAATGTTGCTGGAAGGTTATTTGAGTCCTGAGTCAGGGCAACAGGACTTTGCTCAAAGGAAGAGAATATGTGTGATGAGAGAGGCAGCTTTCTTTTCCTTTCCAGTATAACAGCATAAATGTGAGTGTACTGGAAGCAGAATTATTCAACTTTGTTAATGTGTTTTTTTTTTTTTTTTTTTTTTTTTTTTTTTTTTTTTTTTTTTTTTTTTTTTTTTTTTTTTTTTGTTTTTCTAGGATCTAGTTCAGGATCAAAACTAAAAGTTCCTGAGCTGAGTATAAATGGCATACAGCACGTTGTTCAAGCCGGCCAGACTTTAAATCTCACCTGCAGGTAACTGAGTTGGATTATAATAATTTAGCAGGGACTTCATACACCTGACACTTTCTTTTTTTGTAACTGAAATTAGAAAAAAAATTAAACCTTATGTTGTGGGGAAAGGTGGGGAGTGAACTTCAATGGCAATTGTTTAATAGTTCTTTGTTGTTTCTGTTGTTGTTTTTGGAAAACAAGATAAAAGAGAACCCCATAAATAGCCTGATATAATAAAAAAGAAAGCTTGGGAACTGGAGCTATATAACTGCAGCCCAACATAATTGTTTCTGCTTCCTTATCTGTGTTTGCAGGGGGGAAATGGTTCATTCATGGTCTTTGCCTGAAACTCTTAGCAAGGATAGCAAAAGGCTGAAAGTAATTAAATATGCCTGTGGAAGGAATGGGAAGCAGTCCTGCAGTAGTCTGACCTTGAGCAGAACTCAAGCAAGTGACACTGGAAATTATAGCTGCAAATACCCAACAAGTCCAGCAAAAAAGAAGAAGGAATCTACAGTCTATGTATTTATTAACGGTAAGATTAAGTTTTTTTAACACTTCGTGGTACTTGTTCTGCAATACAGCAAAGTGGAAAAGGAAGGCAGTTCAGCTGTGGCTGAGTTTTGAATAATATTTTCAGCCTTGCATAATGTTAATTTGACAATTAATGTATAAAATCTGCTTTCTCAGATCTTGCAAATACAAATGCTAGTCTTTTATCTGTTAGAAAAAAAATGAAGAAAAAACAGACCCAATCCATCCATCTGCCTAGAGAAAACACAAGTCCAGATGGAAGTGGACTACAAGCAAATATGTGAAATAGGTATCAGAAGCCATGTCCTATGTGATGGGATGTGATGTCATTTCTAGGCAACTGAAGTATGCTAAAGCTGTCTGTCAGATCACTGACTTGCCTCATTCTCCAGAAAATTACTATTTGCATGTGAAGTCATATTTAAAAATGTCTTCTGTAATCCATGTTACACAGATTGAAAAAATCTAGAATAAATTTAATCAAATTAAGCGTAGAGTTGTGTTCAGCAAGCAAGTATTATGCAATGTATAGGAAGTGCTGGAATTAGATCAGTTAGACTATAAAAGAAACTTCATTCTGATCCTGTTTCCTTCCAGGGTATTAATCAGACACTTCTGAGAAGAGTTGAATTCAATAGACACAACAATAGAATAATGAATTATTGACACTTTAGGGATTTAATTAATACTCTAGTTTTTCCTTATTTTTACAGAGTAAAATTAATAGATTACTGTAGTATTTCAGGACTCACAAATTTTGAAAGCACATATTACAGAGAATGTGCAACTGGAAGTTTTCCAGATTCTGGGTCTGCTGCATCAAATGACTTCACATCAGAGTGAATTAGCCTTTGTTTTAATTTTGTAATATGAAGAGCGACACTGGCACTGTGAAAAAAACAGAATGAAGTGGACCTCTCATTACGCTGATAGAAAATAAGACAGATTTCCACATTACTGTGTGTTGCTTTTTTGAGCACTATTGGCTGTTCATGATGTTCATCCTACTTTCCTCATCTGAAATATGCTGCAGAGTGTTTTCATCACCCAACTTTTTTCATATAATTCTCTGTAAATCCAACAACAGATGAATCCATGGAAGAATAGCCAAAATAGGATATTCATTTAGTGACCAACAGCCTGCAGGCTAGGGAAATGTACAATTTCCTTGGATGCCTTTTGCAAGTTTCCTATCACGGGACCTTCTTGAACCTCCCACCTCAGATATTATCCCTGTCTGAGACCTACCCACAGTCCTCTCCATTCACCCCATGAGAAGGACCTCTCTGCTATCCCTACCATACAAGGGATGCCTTTGCATTCTCTTGGTCTCTCACCTGTTTGAAGAGTTAATTTTTCTGGATCCTTAATTTTTACAAATGAGAGACACAACCTATCTTCTACCTCTTCACTGCCTCCCAACTTGCATGTGGCTTCCCTGCATCTAAAAGGCACCTTCAATCAGATGATTGTAAACCAAGGTTATCTGCAGAATTCACACAGCAATGGAAGAGAAATGTATCATTGCAGAAATTGTTTTATGACAGTCCCATGCCAACCCTTGTCCTTCCATCCCCTCTTATAATTTAAAGAAGGCTGCCTAAGTGTCTTGGTTTTGTTGGTTTTTCAAGGACATTCAGTTACAAATCTTGATGTTACTGTTGAAGAGAAGGCTAGATTTTATAACTCCTCCTACCTTAATTGCCAAAAAAGTAGTAAAATGTTTAAGGAACAAACCTGTAGCAACCTTAGACTACCCTGGCATGTTAATTTTCTGGATTTGACAATAATTTTTATTGAAAACAAATTTCTTAACATTGAAGTGTTAGTTGTGTCCCAGGGTAACAAAATCCTCTGTGAAGACTCTCTTTCCCGAGTTCAGTTTTACTTTGCATTAATTTGTGGGTGTTTAGGAAATAAACATTTGTGAAATTTGGGTCCCTCCTAGTTTTGTATTGTTTCCTGTGACAGGACGTTGTGTCAATCCATTTCCCATATTAGCTCCATGTGGATCACCAAGGTGCCTGTTTCCCATGTCTTAGCATGCTGCAGATGAGAACAAATAGTTGCTATTTACAAACACAGAATCTGAATCAGGAAAGTTGATATTGTTTGTACAGGAAGTCATCACTTATTGTTTTAAAAATGTTCTTCATTTCCGTAATTGGAGTGATACTGAATATGAACTGGATTAAAAAAAAAAAAAAAAAAAAAAAAAAAAAAAAAAAAAAAAAAAAAAAAAAAAAAAAAAAAAAAATAAAAAAAAAAAAAAAAAAAAGGCCCAAAGACCAGACCACAATAAACCCAGTTCTTTGGTTCAGTGATGAACATATGCTACAGCAGAAAATATCTGGTATAGAAAAAAACAAGACACAAGGTAATGAGAAGGAGACTGCAAGTCCCATAGGCCCCAGGATGACTTGAAGCATTTCTGAAGTCCTGCTTTTGGGGGTCAAGGAGAAGGAGGCTGGTGACTTGCCTTTGAGGAGCCAGTCCTGACACCACCCTTCTTTCAGCTGGAGAGGTCAGTACTGAGTTGCAGAGGGGAGTGAGTGCACAGTGTCTCGTCAACTCTTGACCCCACACAGCTCAGGAATTGAGACATTAAGCAAGGGAAATTAATTCTCTTAAGAGTCTTCATCTTTGCCTCCAGAAAACTGATGGCCTGACTTTCCCCCCGAGCCATGGAAAAAATCTGAAATGAAGCAAAGCCTTTTTGCCAATTTCTCCCCTGTCTCAGACCCAAAACTGCTCAGAGATTTGTTTTGTAAGGGAAAATACAGCCTAACAGTAAAAAGGAAAGATTTGCAATGAACACTCACTGCATACATTGCAGTGAGGCATGGGGAATTTTCTCCTTGAAAAGAGATAATGATGGAATAAAGACATTTAAGAAACACCAAATTATCAGCAGGCTGTTCTGAATCCCATGTAAATTTCCCTGGGGACAATACTAAGGGCTTTTCTTTCTGTCTGCTTTGTCCCACTATCTCCAAGGCACTTTTCAATTGCTAGAGCTCATTCAATGTCTTCAAAAATATGTAGTACTCTTAATTCTCTACTCCCATTGTATGACAGAGAAAATCTTGTCAGTTCAATTACATTGATATATCAGAGTTAGATTTTTTGCATGAATTTAAGCAAACTGTGATTCAAGTTGAAGTGTTGCTATTTTCTGTGATGAAAACTGCTTTTGGCTAGTAATATACAAGAGTGAAATCTTAATTCTTCTGCAACACAGAACAGAATACTTCTCAAAGTAAAAGTATTTGGCTCTAGGGCAGTAGCCCATTTCCTAGTCAGTGTTCTCCCTCTCCTTGTCTTTTCTCATAATCCTGTAGTGTATGTCTTTTGGTTACTTACTTTTCCTTGCAGAATGAGACATGTTTTAAAATGAAACCTCTAGGCTGGGTTAGTTGTCTATTCTCTTTCTATACTTAACAGAGAACAAAAGAATCTTCTGGTATGTACTGTTCATCACCTATCACTTTTCAAGAAATCTGGAGAACAACCTTAGAATAAATTTATTGCTTTGAGAAGATTTAAGCAAGGTGAGGAAAATCAGAGCTGTATAATTAAAGGTACAGGTCCTGAGAGTCCTTGTGCCCACCAATGCCTAGAATGTCAAACATGCCCACTAGCTGTATGTATTTGGTTTGATGTGTGTCTTGGGCTCAGCAGTCCAAAATGAAGGGCTTTATCATTAGGGAATTGTTCAAAATGTAAGCCTTCGAAATCCCAAAAACATCTGGGATTCTAAGCTCATTTTCTAACAGTAAAGTTGTATGCTGCAGATTTTGAGTGTTTTAGAACTTCCTGGGCACCTCTCTGGGAGGTCCTCCTGCTGACAGATAGCTGGATCCAGACCCAGAACTGACATGTATTTAAGATTAACTTGAATGGATTGACTCCTGTAATCCTAAAGATACTATTGTTGAAGAACATGGAGGGTATCCAAAGAGTTCTGCAAAAGGGTCTCTTTAAATCAGAAGCATCACAGTCAAAATAATTCAAAGTGTAAAAAAAGCAGTAAGACAAAACACCCTGAGAGCTAACAGAAAGGGAGATTTTTCTTCTTTTTCCTTTTTCTTCTTATTTATAAATTACACACTGATAAAAGAACCTGCTCAGGCCTGGGAAACTCTTCCTCTCCATGCCTTTTTTTGTCTTTGCTTTTGGCACAGTTTTAACATATGAGCAGTACGGTTTTGGCTTACACCGTCGGAGTCAATACTATGATAGCGCTTCTGTTATGAAGAGGAAACTCATTGGAATTAAACTATGTTGCAGCTGTATCAAGTATGCGGACACATTTTTAGTTTCTAATGAGGTTCCTGTTACAAAACAGAGACCTCTAGGACTTGCTGACGTCAATGGCCCATAATTGCCGCGCTTTTGTCATTGCGTGTACATGGACTCAGTATCACAGGACACCGTGAGGAGCAGAGCATGTGCGGACACTTTGGCAGCATCCAGCACTCTGCACTGATCCCTCCATGGTCCTGCTCCCTCACCAAGGCTCATAGCTCCTACTGAAACAAACACTTTTCCACTGTGATCCACCAAATGGAAGGAGCATTCCTAACATCCATTAGCCTTTCTAGGGATTGCTTGCTGAACGTAGTAATAGCTCTGTCGTGGATTTCCTGGTTAATATGACTATTTTTCCTGAAGATTTTTAACAATGTTTTATTTGTGTCATGGTTCTATGTTGACAATAGCGTAGTGTAACTAGTCTCAAAGTAAAACAAACCTTGCCTAAAAATTGTTGTACAATTGTATTAGAAATTCTTTGTGTCAGAATGTGCTCTAGATAGAAATTAATAATCATCTAAGTCCAGGTAAAAGAAAGAAAAACAAAAAAAGAGGGGAATACTTTATGTCTCAGGTTTTCTTTCAAGGTTTAGTCATATTTTGTATTTGAAGAGTGTTATTTAGGAGGTTTACAAGAGGCAAGAGTTGAACAACCTTTCTTCTAGAATAAGACATACAAAATGAAATTGTTTTTCTTTAAGGAAATTAGGCATATGAGCCGGTTCAACAGACACATTTCCTAGGGCATGATTAAGCTCATGGTAAAGCAGATGTCTAAAACAGGTCAGATGAATCCCATTGCAAAATTCCCCTTTTCTCACCATGGACAACACTAATGGTTTGGCTCCTAGTTCAGTTAGAAATGTCTGCTTTGGAGATGTGCAAGTGAGGCTGGAATGACTCTTGGTGTGCAAGATTCTTTTGGAATTATTTCTGAACAGCCCCAATAATTTATCTGGGATAAATAAAGTTAAGGAGGCTTAATCCCTTCAATGGAAAGGGAATGTGGCAATTGGCCCATGAACTTCAATGAAGTCTGCATGTCTGTTCTTTACTAAAGACTGTGGTCCTTTCACATGAGGGAAAAGGGTGTTATGTGAATGTGATGAAAATATTTCACCTCTTTTAGCCTGAAAAGAATCTTAAGGATGATCCAAATGTAATCAGGTATTTTGGAAGTACTTCAGAGCTTTTAGAGATTTCAAGGAGCTTAGATTTTCCTGCAGAGACTTTTCTTCTTGCAAATGTATGTGTAAGTCCTCTGACTTACATAGCTCAGATTATTAAAAACAAAACAAACCCAGGAACAGTAGCTGAATCTTGTGGAAAGAAAAACCCTCTCCATCGTTTCTGAATTTGGCATTTCAGTGTTGGCTAATTTAGTTGTTTGTGCAAACCCCATAAATAGCCTAGACAGGTTACTGATACCAGACATAATATTGCTTGTGCTAAGTCTCTTATCAAATTTTTATCTGGCTGCCAACCAGCTTAGCAAAAAAGCTGCTATTTATGTTCTTTAACAATATAGCAAATGACCTTCATGGATTTTGTGATTTCATGAGTGGTCTTTGTGGTTTCATGTTGATTGCAACTGAGAGATATTGTAAGGAACACAGCCAACCCAGCACACAGTCATTCATTCTAGGCATAATTTAAAAATACACTAAACTGATTTTTAAAGTAACCTTTAACACACATAAATATTCTGGCTATCCAGCTTTCATTTTTCTAACCTTACAGGCAGCTCTAAAAAAAAAAAAAACCAAAAAAGTAAACCAACAACCCAGATCAATAATTCATAAAAACAAGGTCAACCCCTTAGATCTTCCATTCCAAGTCTCAGTGAAGCTGAATGTGTAACCTGGATGTGGTCTTCAAAATAGGTCAGTCTGTAATGTAGAGTTTTCTGAACATAGAGTGGAGCTGGCCCAAAAGACTGCTGGTGGGAAATTAAGTCATGCCAGATGTGCTGCCAATCAGCCATGTGGGGAAGGTTCATTTACCTCCCCTCAGGAAGAAACTGAGAGGAAATGTAATGGGAGCTAATGGCTAGGGTAGTAGCTGGGGTTGTGATGGGAAGGAAAGAGGAAAAGAAAAGGCAAGGAGAGCTATTGCTTGGGGGACAGAAGAATTCCATGTTGTTGGCAAACTCTGCCAAGGTGGTATAATCTGCCGTGGCTCTGCTGTGTGTTCAGCTTTGCCTGATCCACACTGGTAAAGCCTGCACCAGATTTTGATCTTGAGGCACCAAGAATATTTCGTTCAGGCCTTTATGATGGAAGGAGAATAAAATCAAAGGGAATCAGGAAAAGCCTCCACACTCATTATGAAAACAAAACTGTGCTAGGAAACATGATGCGTATTTCTTTTAATCAAAAGCAGGAAGACATTTGGAGCACTTGGGGCCATCAATTGCCCTCTGGCCCATGGCGGAAGTCCCCGGTGATGTCAATGGGAGCTCTGCACGCGAATAGCGGGGGCACGGCGACGCCTTGGCGCACACGGCAGGGAGTGTACCAGGAGAGGCTGTGACCATGCCTTGGAGCCCACCAAGGGCAACCAGAATGCTTTGGCCACTTTCATACAGCACTTTGTTGGCTTCTTCACATGTGGACGTGCATTTCCACTAAGAAGAAAGAAAAGCCAAACATAGTGTTTTATGCTGGTTTCCTGTCCCTGCCTTTGGATGGGCAGGAATCCTGTGAGGTCTGAGCTGCACAACCCCCACTGCCTCAATATTGGCATCAGTCAGTGGTGATACTGTCTGCGGACAGCACCGGCAGTCCCCAGAATGGCTCTTCCTCACACTTACAATGATCTGGAGATTATGCTACAGGAAACCACTCTGCAAAGCTTGCTGGTTTTGGGCAGAAACTCTTAATTTTGTGACAAAGACAAACGAGTGTTCAGGGAGTAGTAATTCGGTTTGTCTGGTCATGTTAAGGGGCAGGTGACCTCTTCTGTGGCTGCAGTCCCCGAAACAAAAAAGGTTCTTTTCCCTGTGCTACAAACAGGTTCATTCTTGGTCTTTCCTTGAATCGTCCTGCAGAGGAAATGTCAGCCTAACAGGTCCTCAGGGCATTTTTTATTACATGTGCATCCTCTATTAGTCATAAGTTCCTTTCGCTATCTCAGTGAACCTTTAATACCTACTATTAAATAATACTTTGTGGGTTTCATTTCAGAAAGTTTGTGAAACTGTTTCATTAAACCACCTTAGCAAAACTTTTTCTGTATCCTGGAGTACATTTGAAATCCTCTGCCTTAGGATTCTGACTGGTATAAATTAGAGCAGAATCCATTTATCTTCCTGTTTGATGTCTCAAACAAAAATATTATTGCATATAGTAAGAAAGAGGATCCTAAGGGCAGAACATTTTGATGACCCTGGGAAGTGCATGTCATACTTTTGAAAGACAAGCAAAAGTAACTTAGTTGAAGAACTGCTTGAGTGAACATAGGTCAACATGCAGAAGTTTGGGGCCAGAACACTTAAATCAAGTGTTGCAGTTTGAGGTTTTATAAGGGATTGGTTCTTGCTTACTTTACCATTTATTATCCAAGAAAGATTTCCATTGTTATTTCTAAGATTTTTGACTGAGTTAAAATAATGGGATTTGCCTGAAAAAACATTAGAGCTGTAGATAAGCACAGAATAAAGATCTTAATGTTCTGCTTTTTTTAGGAGTTAAAAAACAAACCTTATGTGAATTTGGAGGTAGTCTATCTGCAATATGAGTCAAACTGAAACTTCAGATCTGAACACCTGCAAAGAAGATTTGGAGCCAGAGCCTGTGGCTTAAGCCCCTCTTTGTTAAGTGGTCCAAACAATAGCCGCAGCAATGTTCCCTGTTCCCAGCGCAAGCTATTTATGACAATGCCCTTTGTTAAAGGGATTGTTCAAGGGACGGTAAATTACTCTGCCAAGCTTTAGTTTTGAGTCAAGAGGAATTAATGTTTTCCTGGCATTTTCATTTACCTTGTCACATAAAAAAGAGACACATAGGTATTGTGATAGTGGGAAGGAGGAGAAGAATTAACTCTTTCTAGTCCATATTCTCAGAGGTGAAAAAATAACTGGATAATCATGGTAGATTCTTTCCCCTGATTGACTCAGTGTGAATTTTTTCTATCAATTTCTTTGCAGGAATTTGTGCTTTATAGGGTGTTCCTGATAAGTGAATTTCAGCTTGCTTCCCATATATTTACTTTTCCTGGTGATAAAAAGATACAAATGCCATGAAATAAGACGCACATATCTCAGCAGTAGAGATGTTGCTGTAATGGAAAAAATGGACTTCAACTGCCCTGAAATTTAAAGAAGATTTCAAAGTAGCGATACTGTTATTGAATGATATATACATCTTCAAATACTTAGTAATAGTTTGATGAACGTGTTTAGACAAAAGTAAATGGAAGATTGTTTTCAGGACTTTGTTTAGCTTTCATTACAAACAGGGCAAGTCTGTTTTTTTAAGTCTGTATGCAACGTTACTATTCCTGTACACTGCCTTAAGATTTCATGTGTTAACCTTTATTTTTCTTCTTTTGCAGATACAAGCAATCCATTTGTAGAGATGCACAGTGATATCCCTAAAATAATAAACATGGCTGTAGGACGAGAAGTGATCATTCCATGCAGAGTCACAGATCCAAACATTTCTGTTACTTTAAAAAAGGTACCTCTATCCAAACATGCTCTGAAAGTGTTACTGTGGACGATGTTTTTGTTTATTTGTTTACAGCTATTGTCATGCTTTTGAAATATTTTAACAATGTAATATTTCTTATGCAATGTTTATGGGTGTCAATGTGTTCAGAAATATTTCAACCCTTGAGGCTTCATTTTGAGTCGCACAGAAGGGCTTCATCAAATCTCCTACAAAGGCTGGGGATTTTCTGAAGAAACTTAAACTTTTCATACTATTTTATTAAACCCTCACTGGCAAAGGTTTCTTAAGCCCAGGAAGGAATTTCTTGTTAGGAGAAGAGATTTCCTCCCACCTCTTCCCTTGCCCTTCCTCCCTTTTCCTCTTCTGTCCTCTGAAACAGCCGGTGAGTCCCTGGGGACTTGCTGTGGCTGTACAAGGATCTTTGCAAGCCTTTGCCCTACCTCTACTCCCACTAAAGACCTTGCTGCTTCCTTTTACATATGAGCACACTTAGAGAAGGGATGGCTTTTCTTTGTGGGAAAACTTTGCAGAGAAATGACAAAGTTTGATGTGATGGGACTAGTTTTTTGGGGGAAAAAAAAGATATTTCCATGTTTTGGGAAAACATTTGTCTCTTAGATGCCTTAAGAATTACATGAACAGCTAACTGAATGTATGTAGTAAAGTACCTAGTATCAAGACTGAGATTGGGGCATTTTTTTAAAAATTACTTTTCTTTTTTCTGAAAAATTAGGTGGAAGTGGTAAAGAAGTTTTATTTCTAAATAAAGGGAGTTATGTACATAGTGGCAATGAAAGTTCAGCACTATTAAAAGGAAAAGAGGTTTGTCTCTTTATAGAATAGCATGCAATTGCCAAACAATACCACCGTAAGATGCTTATCTAGCCCAACACAAGTCTTTGATAATTCTTTGACTGCAGAGCTTTACACCAACCACAAATTTTATCAATTCTTTCAGGTGCTGCTTTGCTAATATAGATACTGATTTTGCTGCTTGGTTTTCACCTGTTAAATCCCATGAAAAAGAACAAAATGCAGAGAAAAGAAAGTGATCTGACCCAGGATGTTACCCTACGTGTGTAGGTACACACACACACAAACACACACACAGTTCTCCTGCAAGAAGATGCACAAGGTTGTGTGGCAATAGAATCAAAAGCGAGTGAGACTTAGCTTTCCATAGAAGGGGTGTTGTAAAGTGGGAATTTATTTGGGCACTTTAGTGTTGCATCTGAAATCTCGGCATATTAGATTTCTAGCTGAGAAAATTCCTGTCAGGTTTCTCTCATTAAACAAATAAAAAAAAAGTCTCCTTATTTGTAGAAGATTGAAACACATCTACTCTCTTTTTTCATATCAACTTGCCTTTAGCTTGGGCTTGTAGTGTAAGGCACAGCTTTATACCATCAAAAACAGATGTAATACTCTCAGAAGGAGAAAGAGGAGGTAGAGCCAAGTCTTGAAAGAAAGGATTGGTTGCTTACATGTTTTGCATTCCAGGAAAAATAAATGTGTTCCCTAATTAATCCTAGAATTTCCTGAAGCATGTAAGCTGCAATGCATTACATCACATCTTACTTTATTTATCTTCTATGACACCATTATATGAAGATTCCAGCACAGTTTTACTCACAGAGCAATTAAGAGATGTCTTAAATGCATTCCACAGCTGTAGGCATGCTACTTCTGGAGAAATGGCAAGAGCTATTTTGTGTTTTCCATCAGTGACAAAGGAAGAATTTGGTGTCCCTATAATGCAGTTCTCTGGAACTGGAAAGAAAATACCAGCTTTAGTGTCATCTGCCTTCTATGTTACCAGGAAGTAAAAATACAAAATATTTTTGATAATCTCTCTCTTCTGGAAGGACTCCATACAGTTGCATTGCCTCCAATATTTGTTTCTTTGCAGTGTTACTTCTTAGTTTTAGTGGACCAATGTGGGAAATGTTTATTATCCATGTTCAACACTACAATCTATTTTTGTACTCAAACTTCATCTTTACCTTAGTCAAAACTTTTTAGATACTGTCTTTCTTTCATTTTCAGGCTGAACATTTGTGCAGATTGTATTTTATAGCATAGCAATCACATAGGTTGGTGGGTCTTCAAAAATCAAGAAGTTAATAAAACACAAACTGGGAAATGGGGATGAAGCTTTTAATTCCTATTTCAAATTCAGCCTTCAAGTCCCAGTATAAACTTTATCTGCAGCAGCTGATGGCCTTTTCCTTATCATATGAAGAATTGTGAAATCAATTAATAGTTTTGATCTAATGCTTAATAGTTAGATATTCAGAGCCGCTGAAACCATCATTCCTATCAACATGATTCTGGGAGTTTCATTCAGGATCCATAAAATAAGATAAACTTTATTGCAAGTAAACTGTGCACTTCTCTTACCTCTTCATTTGCTCTTATCTTGATAAATGGAAATGATAAACCTTTTGATACAATGATTTAATCCATTTGCTTAATGAGAATCCTTTTGGCCTCTCTATCATAAAGACAGTGACATTCATAGGAATAGAAGTAAATAAGCTTCAGTACAAGGAATGAAAAGTGCAAAAAACCCCAAGGGATGTTGTGAATCACATAGGCAGACAATCTGAATTCTTAATAATGACATCTCATCCTTCCCAAATTGGTGGAAGGGGAAACGTGAAAGAAAATCCAAACATTCAAAAAGCTAATGTTCATTTTTATTAAACTTTTATTTATCTCTTTCCAATGCAATCTGCCTTTGGACATGTGGGGAACCACAGCTTGACTATAACTCTTGACCATATCTACATACACAGTATGTGGCTGTACTGTGCTAATGCCACCAGGTACCAAAAACATTCAGCAGAGATTGAACAAAGAAGGAGGCACAGGCTATACCAAAAATAGTTGCATTTGAAACAAAGTACAAAGAAGGTAAAAGGCCAAGAATGCACTGGGAGCCACAGTGATAGGGTTCACAGAGATTAGTATGTAGACAATAAATTCCATGTTTACTGCAGCCAGCGCAACAAGCTGATTCTTTGAATGCCTCTGACTCACTGTTGGTTCTCATCTGAAAGCTATTCTTGTGGCTGAATTTATCTTCTGCTACTTCAGTAGAAGTCTCACTGTTATAGCACAGTGTTTCTTCATAGGTTTTCTACTTCTCTCTGTGATGACCAAATGGCCAAGATTTTTGACAAGGCCTTGAACTGCACTGGCCATGCTCTGCATAGGGGCAGGACCAGATGGCCTCTGGAAGTCCCTTCCAGCCTAAATAACGGTGTTATTCTTGGATCCTCTGTTTTGTACAATCTACACAGTGATCAGTATGGTGATGACAATACCATGTTTCTAGCTGGTGGTCTGAAGGCTGGTTTAGGCAGAGCAAAACAGCTGTGGTTCTCTGAGGGTGGGAAACAGGTAATCTGAGCCAGTGAGGTTGGCCAAGAACAGCATGGAGAATAGCTGGGTAAGGAGCTGAAGCAAGCAGGGAGAGAGGGCAGAGCTGTGAAGGGCTTTAGGCTGAGCACCCAGCCTCCATCCATCTTCTCATCTGAGGCAAAGTACTGCTATTTCCATCCTCCAAAAGGGACTTGCTGCAACATCTTGGGTTTTTCCCCTCCAACAGATTTGGTCAAAGACCAGCTATGTCGCAGTGGTCTTTTGCTAGTCAAAGACCTCAGTTTTCTGAAGTTTTTCTTCACATAACTTAGTGCTGTGTTATGCTTTCACAGGTGACGGGGTGTAACTTCTTAGTCTCAGAGATGCAAAAAAATTATATGAAAAAGATGTAACTCTAGGTGGTTTTGAGTGTCAGATGAGTAAACTGTACAGACAAAGATTTGCCTCCAGGATAAGTAAGCCTAGTAGATATCCAGACACCTCACAAAATTACAAGTTGCAAAATAGGACTCTTCTGGGTGTTTTGGTTACTTTTGCATTCCTGAAGTAAGGCAAATACAAAGTCAGTAATACATCAATTAAGTAATGAATGTGCAGTGAATGCATTCAATGGGAAATACCAGTCCAGAAGGCTCTCACCCTCTGGCTTCACTTTCGTCATGAAGACTTGTACAGAAATAGTTTGATTTTCACCAAAGCAGGAAGAGGATAAATCCAATCGAAGCTCAAGAAAACATAACAATGAACTAGTTACACCAAACTTGAAAATGTGTTTTGTTTAGAATAGGAATGGCAGCAGAGCTCATAGGGACCAAGATATTGTTGAATGGTAGCCAGCAGGCTGTAACGTAATGGGCTTTATTTGTGTGTGTGCTGCACACACTTCCCTGTGATTTGCATGCTTATTATAGCATCTTATCAGCTGTTGTAAAGATAAGGAAATCTACCACGTCATTTTGTGCTCTGTATTTATTGCTCATTTGATTCATCATGAACTCAGTTGTTTTGGAGGAAATGGCATGAGATGAGCGAGTGTGATCTCGAGGGTGTCTGTATAGGGTGAGCAGGCAGCATCGACAGTGCCCCATTGTAGGGAGAAGCTGCACCACATGGGAAGGAGACAGACATTCATGCTTCCCCCAGCCCCTGACAGCCACCTATGCTGGCTTTGCTTGTAGGAAGGAAAGGGCTGTCCAGCACATAAGTCCTCTGCTTAAATAAAGGGGAAGAAAGGATGAAGGGACAAGGTGAGCCTGGTGCACAGTGGGAAGTGATGGGTTGTAAGGTGCTTAGCTGATCCAGGGATCTTTCCTTATGACCGTAATTCATTTAAACTGTACTCTGTCCCTTCTTTAAAAATATCTTACTTTTACCATTAAAACAGGTGTTATCAAAGTAGAGTCATATCCAGGCTTTGTACTCATGGCTGATCTCTGTGCTATCTAAATAGTGGCATTTAGTCCATCAATAAGGTGCAACAAAATAGCATGATCTGAAAATGAGAGGTTTTTTCTCAGCTTCAATGGCTATGTTAGGTTTTACTTTTTCAGGGTTTTCTTGATACCTTATTAAAATGGAGCTTAAAGTGCAAAAGATCATAATGTAAAAGATAACTCATACTGCTAATGAAGTGAACATTTGATCCCACATGCCAATATTTTTTTTGTTTATTTTTTAAGTCTTTTAGGCAAAATAAATGACATGCATGGAATTGAATCCTGGCAGGAATTTCTTAAAGCCACAAAATGACAGCAAATTAAAACCATTTGTCATCTCCAATGAAAAGTGTGTATTTTTTTCTCTGTGTTTAAACCAGGATACTTAATTGCAAAGGTTCCTGGAGATGAGCACTTTAGCTGCCAACCAGGAGCCAACAGAATAGCAGCCCAACTGCTGAAGCTAATGGTAGTGTCAATCTATTGTGTCACAAATTACATCCTGTTATAAATAATGAAATCCTGGAAACAAATGCAAGATTCACATTCTTCACCCAGGTTTTTCATCTATTTTGTAATGAAAATGTGACTTGAAAACCCCACATCATTAAATGCCATCCTTTTCATGTTGATTGGCATTCTTTTGGGTGCTTTTCCCTTCATCCCTTTTTTACTAGGCTGCTTTGATTAGAGAGTAGACATGAGGATGAGCTCTTTTCCTGATGTGTGTTTGGCACTTCCAGATTCCACGAGAAACCCTAATTCCTGATGGCAAGACAATAATCTGGGACAGCATGCAAGGCTTCAGAATACCTAAGGCAACTTACAAATTCATTGGGCTCCTGAGCTGTGAGACAACTGTTGGTGGGCACACATACAGCACCAAGTACCTAACACACAGAGAAAGTAGGTCTCATTCTCCACTCCCTGTCTCTCAGAAAGCACCCTGCCCTGCTGGCATTACTAATTGTTCTCCTCTTTGTTACATGCAGCCAACACCATTTTTGATGTTCAGTTAAGCACCCCACGTCTCGTCAAAATGCTGAAGGGAGACAGCCTAGCAATTAACTGCACTGTCACTGCAGCCTGGAACACCAGAGTGCAGATGACATGGACTTACCCTGGAGAGGTGAGTGCTGTAGTTGGAAAGAAGAAACCAGAGGTTTCCCACAGATCATGCTGCAATTAGCATCCCAGGAGTAATTCTGCTTTGGAATGCTTGCCATTTTTTGCATTCCATCATTTTGACCCTTGCTGACATGTCTTTAAGGTTTCTTTTTTTTTTTTCCCTTCTGATGCTTAATTTCATAAGTAAACATATTTACACAATGTGCTCTGGTTATATTGCATAATCACGAGCAAACGCTAGAATCGCTTCATCTCTGGGAGCTTCTTTTTGACCTGATGAAACAAGAGAAATTTATCACCCTGTCCCAGCCAGGGGCTCTCTCTTGTGACAAAAAAGTCTTCAGTGAGGTTGTCTGCTCAACACATTCATTTCAAAGAATGGCAGACAGTCAGGCACCCAATTCGAGCATGTTTAGAAAAGATATTTTGATTTAGCTAGCCAAAATCTAATTTGTTAAGTGTCACACGAACAATCCTCTTGTTTTGACAACTACAGGAATGATCTTGAATGTGCTTCTCCACCCCCCACATTGGGAGCATCCTCATAAATATTTGTCACTTACAGAATAACTGCCAGGGAGTCCGTGTAAAACTGATAAGAAATTTGACATTAGCTTAAGGTTTACAACTCCCATTCCTTTCATGTCAGTTTGATTTATGCTGGTGATTCAAGTCAAGATCATTTATTATGTCACTCATTGTACCTAATCACAGGCTGAAATTATGATTGCATTATATAGGGAAGATTAATGCAATTGTTTATTGCTTACTGTAGCCATTTTCCCTGGCATTTTTTCACCTCAGAAATAAACAACTTAGCAACAAAAAATGCTCCAAATATATTATATTGCTCACTGCTGCCTTACCAAGCTCTATCTGGGCACCACACTTGTGAAATTGTGTTTTGTTTTTATTTAGATGGTAACTGAAGGGTGCTCAGTGTTTATAAGACATCAACAATGTCCTGGGTTAAATAAACTTGGAGGCAAATGCTGAGAGGGAGCTGCAGGAAATAACTCCTCAGAGTCACATTATCTTCAGTTCCACCCTGCTATTCCCTTGCCAAATTGAGTCCCTTTTCTGTCTGTAACGTTTCCAGAATTCTCCCCTCCTTTTGTTAATGTCCTTTTCTTCTGTGTGTCTGTTCCCTATGGCACTGAATCCAGGCACCAAACTATGTGCTGCTCTTCATATCATGGCTTCAGGGATTTTTAGGAGCAGTGCTGGACAATGACAATGGGGAGCTGGGCATGTTGATATGACAGGCTATACAAAAGGGAGGATCTTCTTCTGGAAAATACTAGTTTGGATGCCATGACACCTTGGGTGAATTGCCCTATAAGGCTGCTTATATTTTTTATTGTTGACCCTCTGGAAATGTTAAGTATATTTTGCTTATCTGTCCTCTACAAAGATATCTGGGATTTTTTTTTTATTAAGTTATGGTGGCAGTACAGGAAAATAAAAATCCTATTAATCATGAAAAATGGTTTGATTAAGCTCTTTGTTGTTCATTTCTTTGGCTCTTATAGACAAGGAAAAGAGGTTCAATAACGCAGCGTATTGACCAGAAGAATTCAGAGGCCAACATTTTTTACAGCATCCTCGTTGTCGACAGAGTGCGGGATATTGATAAAGGCCAGTACACCTGCCACGTGAAGAGTGGGCCATCCATCAAAGCTGTCAACTCAACAGTCATTGTTTATGGTAAGAAGTGATGCCCATTTGTGGCACATTCAGTGCTCATGTACCAAGGTCAGTTGTGTGATAGTTCTACATTGTGACACAAAGTGGAAGCCATCATGAGCAGAAAAAGACAAATAAGGGAGAGAGGCACTCCAGGAGGGAGCCTGGAGCCTGGAGCCATGTGCCATTTCTTCCATGACTGTTTTCTGCTGTTGGCAATAGACATGTTAATGTTCGATTTCATCAGTTTTGTCTGCTAAATATTGTGATGGTGCTGTCCTCGGTCAGTTTTAGCAGATACAATCAGTCAAACTCTAGTTTGGGGGGAAAAAAGAAGGTGCAAGCATAATTTAAATAGAGGAAACCCACATTCTCTTCTATGGTACTTATGCATTTCTATGACAAAATAAAGAAGAAATAAATACCCTAGCTCTACACAGATCTGGTAACTGTTAGACCATTCAAAAAATGCAAATCATTAATACGGTTTTACAGCAGGACCCTTGATCAAATTCCCTATGGTTTGTCTGGGCCTTCTGTGAAATCTGGAAATTTCTGATATTATTTCAGATGTATATGAATAAGGCCATTTTTTGCATTGTGACTCTTCGGGAAGATAACTTCTTTGGGACACCCTGTTACAATTAGAACTATCCAGGATTTTTGCACCACCATTTGTGTTAAAGACCAAGTGGCTAGTGGGTGTCCTCTACAACAGATGATTCATGATCAGAATATGCATTTATTACGTATTTTCAGTGGTTTATCTTTTCTCTCCTATCTGGAAGTGTGGACTAAGCACTCGGTGTTGGTATTCTTAGAGAGAATTTCATCTCATTTTGCCTGTTTAAGCTCTGGAATAAGGCACTGGAAACATAGGATGAATCATGATAACCAGTTACTGTATCTTAAACAGATAAACCTCATCTTTCAGAAACTGAGGTTTGGATGAAAATTAAAGTCAGAGAAGTCGGAGATTAAAATTAGAGTCAGAGAAGCTGGGACTGTTGAAGTCATCCTGCATTCACATAAGCAGCCCCATCTATAGGATTCCCATATTAGAAAGAGCCTGTATAAATAAAGGTTTGCCGAATCAGGCCTGTATCTTTCTAACACGAATAGTGTAATTAAACTACTTATTTGTGTTGTGCATATTATTTTCAATGTACATGATAAGTGTGATTAAATGTTGAATTTATTTAATGGATGTCCATCATCCTTGTGCAATTCATGTGAGTAAATACTGTACCATAGGTACCAACAAAAAGACACTCAAACATTTTTTATACTTTGAATATTCTATTTTGCACACTTTTATTTTATTTTGCAGGGGAGAAAGAGATATTTTCCAATGTATTGTATGAATTTTATGTTTTATTGCCTCTGGTAAAAGCCATCAACTTGGCAGAGAATTGGAGATAGGGGGCAGAGCAAATGGAAAAGAATTAATTCCAGCAGGTTGTTATTATTCCAGTGAAGTGTCAAATATTTGTTGGTTTGATGAAACAGCTGTTTACCAGTGATACAGAAGTTTTCTGCTTTTTCCTTTGCTATTTCTCTGAAGGTCCCTTAAATCCTCTCTGGAAAAATATTTTCTTTTGGAACATTCATTGATTCTTGGCCTCTGAGAGTGGAAAGGTTATCTGATCATCCTCAGTTCAGCCTCCCACATACTGCAGACCACTTTATATCTTGTGCCTTTTTTTCTGGCTGGACACAATGTGAATTTGGCTAGAGTGTATCTTCTCCAAGCAGATTCATGCCCTGGGAACTGCCTCTCAGTTTCTTGTATATTTGTGGTATTCTTTTCTATTTTATAGATCTCTAGGAGATTAGGCTCTAGTCTTGCTGTTAACATGTGGGAGCATCAAAATTACTAAAGATAATTTTCATTTGGAGTCACATTTTCTTTAGTAGAGATACTCCTTTTGCAGGGTGAAAATCTGTAATACAAAGCACTTTTTTATTTTGTTTAAGATAAAATGTTCATTAATTTGAAACGTCGAAGAAAAACTGCGCTGGAGGCTGTTGCTGGAAGAAAATCCTATCGTTTGTCAATGAAAGTGAAGGCATTTCCCTCTCCGGAGGTTATATGGTAGGACAACAGTTACTTCCACATACGTATCCCGGACCTGTTTTTATAGTAGAGTTGGGGAGGATTTCTTTGAAGTTTCAGAGCTGCCTGGGGTTCTAACAAGTTATGAGAACATTACTTCCATTTCACAGGTGTGAGAAAGGAGATATGAAAAGTTTAAAGCTGAGATTCTCAAATAGGTTGGATATATCTCCTCTTGAAATCAATGGATGCTCTACAGCTGAATATCTTTAACTGAAGTGTTGCATCCAGCTTTACTCAGACATAGATAGGAAATCTGAATTTGCTTTTCAGACAGTAAGAGAAAGAAAAGAAGGCTTTCATTAAAATAAATTATTTACTTGAGCTATATAGACATGCACTATTGCAAAAAAAATGGAAGTTGGTATTATTATGCAGTGATCTGCAGGTTGTAGACCTACTTCAGCACAGCATTCACTGTGTCATTCATTTTGTCTCATGTAAGTTGTGTTAAGAATTTTTGGAGAAATTTTTTTTTATTAATCCAATTTTCATATGCAACAATGTTATCTATTCAGTATCTCAAGGGTGTTATTATTTAATTTAAAACACCAGTAGCTCTGGCTCAAGTAGTTGCACTTTAACAAAGGGTCTATGACAAGACTGATTAAGAACACAAACTATACATGCATCAACAGTGGGAGTTCAGGTTACAGCCAAGAATTAATTTTGCTCCAAAAGCATTGTTTTGTTTTACAAACTTTTATACTTATGGCTTCATGTGAAAAACTGCGTGGTGAGTGTGATGCTGATACTAGCCATTTATACATAATTTTCTGGTTTTCCAGTGTTCAGGTTTATTGACCACACATACAGATGCAAAATTCTGAACTAAAAGAATCTTCAAACACTGTGACAAATTTCTAGTTTTTTTTTTTATTTAAAATTGAAGTTGGTCAAACATTGGAATAAATAATCCAGAGTAGTGGTGGAGTCTCCATTCTTGGAGATACAAAAAACCATACTGAAAATGGTCTTGGGAAACCTTCTGACCTTGCTTTGTATAGGACATTAGACTAAATGACTTCCAAAGGCTTTTTCAACTGCAGCTATTTTGTGGTTCTGTAAAATATACATACAGTGAAGTGTCTAAATCCAAAAGTCCTTTGACCAAATTTTAGTGCTCCTCTAATAACAGTAAGAGTTTTTTCTAAAAATTTACTAAAAGCTGTGAATCATTTAGAATCCATCATCCTAATGAATTTGTGTTGCACCCTTCTACTAACATCATGTTAACCTTCTTGCAGCTTGTTAAAACGCACTTTACGCTGTATTTTAGACTTCGAAGAAAAATCTTTTGCTTCAGGAATCTGCATGTGAGCAACAGTTAGTACTTTCTATGTTGATTTTCTATTATCTTTAAAAACATTCACTTGATATCTGATTCTTAAGTGCTTATCTAATCTACTTACTCTTCCTCTTCCTAAAATCACAGCTGTGCTTAGGGTACTGTAATACTTTGTCCCAGGATGTATTTTGAGGTCGTAGAGAAATGGCCAGTGCAAGATGATGCAACCTTTATTACTGTGGCCAACCCTTAGCCAAAATGGTTGTCTTTTAGACTAAATGGCGGTCACAGCCATGGACAACTTGGATCTTCAGAGATAGAGTGGCAATTTTCAGCAACTCTCAAATACCATAGAGCCCAGTCAGATTCTTATCAATTTTAGATATACAATATCTAAAATATTCTCTAAAGTGGTTTACAAATATAATCAATCTTATTTGAAAGGAAAGGACAAGCCTGTGGTAAACAGAATCTCAGACTGGTGATCTCTTCCCAAAGATTGAGGGATATGATGTAACATGGATGGTTTAAGCAGAAATATTTTTCAGAATTTTGATTTCTGGAATTCCATGAAACAGGTTAAAAGATGGGCTACCTGCTGCTGAAAAATGTGCTCGGTACGTGGTTAAAGACTATTCGTTAGTCATCAAGGATGTAGCTGAGGAGGATGCTGGAAACTACACCATAATACTGAGCATTCGACAGTGGAACTTGTCAAAGAATCTTACAGTCACTCTTACTGTAAATGGTAAGTTCACAACATGTTCCCATGCTTCCCCTCAACATGTAAGTGCTCAGTTTTCTTTAAGCTGGATTGTCACCAATCTTGCACTGACTTCATGGACCCAATTTTCTTACTGACTTCATGGACCCAAACCCAAGCCTCAAATGTAGAGTGAAAGACTCATCTTTGAACCAGAAAATGGTTTTCATTAGAAGTGTTTCTATCCTCTGCAGCCACATATTTGCTCCTGATGACTTAAATGTGTTACTAAGCACTCATCTGACTTAGGACTGCTGTTTTCCTTTGTTCTCCTGGGGATTTTTCTTGTTACTCACACTGCAAGAATGTAGTATTTTTATAATCGTGCAATACGTTGGAAATAAGCTGGCTTTAATAGCTTTCCAATTTTTACCCTTTACAGTGAAACCACAGATATACGAAAAGGCTGTGTCATCATTCCCTGATCCCAATCTGCATTTACTAGGCAGCAAACAAGTGCTGACATGCACTGTGTATGGTATTCCTCCACCTAAAATTATGTGGATGTGGTATCCCTGTAAACAAAACCATTCTAAAACAAGGTAGGACAACATCTTTACTTTTATTTAGTATATCTTTTTTTACTACTACATTTAAATATTTTTTGTAAGAGTAAAGCTTGCTGTAAACATTTCTTAGTTAATAAAAACTGTCTACTTTTTATCAATGTATTTTTCAGTGGACATGCAAATTTTTCTCCATCATTACTTGAAAATGGAGGGCAGACTGGTTACTTGGTATTACTGTTTGGGTTTATTTACAGTTCACTACTATTCATGCATGTAATATTAGCCCAGAAGTGATGATTGCTTTTGCATTTTCATGAGAGAAGACAATGTCTTGCAAAGTTCACATACTTTCACATGGAGTTTTCCTCCATGCTTTTCTTCATGCACAGTGACTCCTGTGTGTGGTTTCTTTTGAAATCAACAGAAAACATCATAGAAACTTCTTCCATTATGAAGAAGTGATATGTTTAGCCACAAATTCAGTTCAGCAAGCTAAATGTGCCCACCATTTTTTCCAGATGATATTTAAACTGGGTAAAGAATAAATACCACCATGCAATCTTACTTGACGCTGATGCATTGCTCAACTAATCCTGTTTTTACGTTTTGTTTTCTTTTGAACTCTGTTTCTTATGATTAGGAGTTTGTGTTGACTCACTTATCCACAGATCTTCCTGCATAATGAAATCTATCACAAACGTAATGATTAACACTCAACCTCCACAACATCATTATCATTAAGTTGCTACGGAGGGGTTCAAACAGGCAAGGTACTTGGATCACAGCCCAGTGAAGATATTTAAAAACCTGACAAGTTTTATACACAACATTTTCTCAGTTCCAGTTGAAGAATAATTACATTCCACAGGATTTCACTTTTTTAATGCTTTCATAGAATTGGAATTTAGCACCAGGCAAATATTTAAGTACATGCGTAATTGCAAAGGTACAAGACACTTCCTTCAACTAAATAGGACATCTCAATACTGAGGGTCTCAATACTAAAAATGTCAAACTAAAGATACTTGTAAGTGCTTTGATATCAGTGAGATAGTGGTCAGCATTTCCTACAAGCAGAAGTTATTTTTCCTGCGATATCCTTGGGATTATTCTAAAAATAAATAATTGTCTTTCTGTGCCCTTCTCACCAAGAGGTGGCACTAGCTATCTCTCCTCCTGCTAGAATAAGTATTACCTGAAATTATCCATTTCAAGGACAGGTGAGAGCTGCATTTCCTCTGTCTGGTATGTTACCTTACAAGGACAAGTTGAAGAACTTATTTTTGCTAATAAACATTAAGAGAAGAGAAATCACAACATCTTTTAACTAGAGAAACCTCGAGAAAGGTATATATGAAAATTTTCAGTCTTAGTTTCTTTCAAGAGTTTATACAGCTATGAATAATCTGGATTGAAACCCAACACAGCACTGAAGAAATAGTTGGTTCTTCCTTGGTACTCGAGGTGGTGCTCATCTGTTGTCAGGTATTTCCTTCTGTTAGCAATCACAGGTCTGCACTCCAGCAGTGCAGTGAGTCTTCAGAAAGAGGAATGGACATATGCATGCAGGTGTTCAGTAATGTGCTGAGCTATAGACTCCATTAAATGCTAATTAGGAGTGTGTTTGAGCAGGTGATCAAAGGAGAAATGCAACAATTTGAGTCAGCTATTGGCTCTGTTACAATGTTGTTTCCAGACTGGCTTCCAAATTGCCTTCATAATTGTTCTGTGATGATTCCCTTTAACCCTCTCCCCTTCCTTCTCCTTTAAGTACTCATTGAAGAAGTAGCCTGCAGAACACCATTTTTAAGGCTTTGACTAAAAGGAGTGGGATGATTCCCTCTGAATAATATGACAATTAACTATTGCAGAAAGGCAGAAATACATGAGTAATTACATTTTGTCTCCTGCTTCAGGAAGGGAGCAGAGTGGAGTACCTCAGCAGCTGGCACACCTTGCTCAGGCGGATGTCTGTGCAGGTTCAGGTTTTCCCCCTGATGAACTGGAAAACCCTTTAATCCCAACCATTTTAATATACGTCCCTCTTTGTGTGATGGGAGGTTTGCCTAAACAACAGATTTAATGGACATGTACCTTGTGCAGGAGATAAGAAACATATCTTATTCTGCCATTACAGCATTTTTTTATATTTATCTGCCCAACATTAGGTTTTCAATACTAAAATGTTGCTCTATTTGTGCTCATGTATGCTTGTTTCTGTACACAGATGAACCTTGTACTTTAATTCAAAGAACCCCCACGGGTTATCCCTTAGTGGAACATTCTCAGGAAATTTTTGAGTCCCATGTCATAGGACAGAGTGTGCACTCTCAGAAAAAAGATGCTGTTGCTGCAAAGACCTTGCAGTGCTCTATTGGCTCCAAGATCTGTTTTCCCCAATATTTCTTTATATGTGTGCTTAACTTCACACCAGTTGAGCACTGTCATTGTAAGCTGGGGACTGACTGCTTAAGTTAGATGCTTTTATTTTTGAAGGACTGTTGCCTATGGCCTTCTTTAATAGCCACCATTAGGTTTTGTGCATACTTCTTTCACTTTATTTTCCAAGAAGTTACAAAAATCTAAAAATACCTCAATGAATTGCATTGCTTTTAAATGCAGATAAAGCTTTCTGATTGATACAATCAATTTGCATAACTCTTTTCTCTACTTCTCTCAGGCCAGTAACAGGAGACTGACCAAATTAAATAATTTCCATAGTTTCCTTGTAGCAAATAATAATAAAAAAATGCAAAATTACTCAACAAATATGAATTTTTGAAATATGGAAAGACCAACATAATTAAAAATTCCCTGTTCTTTGTTTTCTGTTACAATTGCTTTGCTTAAACCAACTCTTGCCATGAATCAACCTTTTTAGCTAGCTAACTAGCTAGATAGTAGGTAGAAAGTTTTTCTTCTGATGTTCACCAAAACAAGGAAGCATAGAAGAGTCAAGAAAATCTGTCTGGGGCAAAAAAGCAATATTCTGGGGGTTTTTTTAAGCTTATGCAGAGATATTAAATTTAGAGATGGCAGCCAAAAGACAGTAGAAGACACAATGCAAAATAAAACTAAAAGTAATTTAAAAAACCAAAAAAAATTAGTATTTGCTGCGTCTCTCCCTCGAATCCACGGGGATAGAACCCCTGTGGAGCCCGGCCAGCTGGGCAGTTGGGTGAGTGGGCAGAGGGAAGGAACTTCTCCTTGGATCCCGGGGGGCTTGGAGAAGCTCCCGCGTGAGTCCAAAGACGAGCTGGTCCCACAAGCAAAGGAAAGAGACGCTCTCCCTCAGGATTAGTTCCAAAGTTTAATGAGAGCCTGGAGAGATCCCAGGCCACATCTGACCTCGAAGGACATCCAGAGCAAGAGAGAGGGTGTCCCTGCCTGGAGCAGCCAGATATAGGGGGGCAGGGAAACCCGAGCAGGCAATGGGGGAAGGACATGGGAGCGGCTCTCGGGGGGCAAGGCCTCAGAGTGACCACTGAGGAGGGTCGGGGAGGAGTCCCAGCCAGGGTCCAGTTACCTGGTGACCCTGGGAGAAGGATCTGGACAAAGGGGAAGGGTCACCAGGTGATGGACACATCCCCTGGGAGGAGACAGGGGGATGGGTTGGGGTTTGATGGACATACAGGTGCTGATGGGAAAGCTGGGATGAACCGAACAGATACAAAGAGGGGATATGGAGGGACAAACCATTATGAGGGGATATACAGTGCAAACACAACTCTACAAGTATTTCTTAAATGATCGATAAACTGCTTTTCCAGGGCTATCTTACTGCAGTGTATGCTGCTGCTCTATAGCAGACACATTCCCAGGCTGGGCAGCCGCCACATGTTCAGTGGATATAGAAGAGTACAGCCCTGTGGGACACTTATCCTGAAGTGCCCAGCAGTCTCCTTAGCCTCTTTCCTACCACTCTGGAGCCATCCTATCCATCCTGAATTTGTCTCAGGCTGGGCTGTCAGCAGAGGTGTATGGGGGCAGACAGCAGCAGGGCTTGCTGAGAGTCTCCAGAGCCAGGCAGGCTGGGATCCACCTAAAACAGATCACTTCTGAGGCTGCAGGACAAGCATCTGCATGCTGGGAACGTGCTTGATGTTAACGGTTCTTGACCTGAATCTCTTCAGTAGTTTTTGTTTATCTTAAACTGACCTGTCAGGAATTGCCAAGAAAGGCATGTGGGATACTGGTATTGCTCACTGGAAGCACTGGCTTGCTCAGCAGCTGTGCAGTGTTTTTTGGGGCCAGTTTTTCTTTCTGGACATTTCTACATGAGTAGATCAAGAGAGATCTTCAACCTTTGCCCAAGGTTTGACTGACTGGCCCTTCAGAAACGGCAGACAGTTACAACACTGAAATTTTATCATGGGTGTTTCAATTCTCCCATCACCTTGCTGCCTCCCTCCTCTTGAACTATGAGTTTTGTTTAGCCCCAGACTGAATGCTATGTAATTATTTTACAGCCCTGCCATCACATCAACCTATGGCTTTTTTGCTTTTGTTGTTCTTTGGGTTTTTCCCCATCTGTATGTGTTTGCTTGAGGGAGAGAGAAATATAACAGCACTATGGAGCTGCTTACAGAAACAAAGTAGCTGGGGACACTGGTACATGATTCTCTGCTCTCCTGACTACAGTGTCAAGATATGAACTCTACTTGGTGGTAAAACCACCTGATGGTGAGATTTGAGATGTAGGGCTGAATACATGAAGTATCTGAGAGGAAAAAACTTGAGGTGTTCATTGAAATTTCTGCAGAGATACTGAAACTATCATAATGACAGAGCATGGCCAGACTTCCAGCAGTTTCAGTGAAAGAGGAAGCAGGCCATGTGTGCATTAGCAGTCTAATTGCATTTCTGCATTGCTTGTGTCAGGGTATTAATAAGGGATTAAAAGGCAGAATCATTAGGATGTGCTTGGATAGATGATCAGGGGAAACCAGAATTGGGACATCAGTGAGGTATGTAAAATGAACAAGTAAAGAACAAATGTTAATTGTACTTAATTAGGAATGTACTAAACCACC